CATAAGTGTCCTAAGTGATATAACACGTCAGATCAAATGGCGGTTCTGTGGAGGACCCAGGTTCGATTCCTGTTGGAGAACACATATTTTCTCCGAAATTTCTCGAACAATTCAGGCCGGTAAATGTAATTAATACCATGTAATTAAAAAAAAAAGAGGGCATTTACTTAAATAAATTGTATCTATTAAAATAACATATAAACAGAATATATATATATATATATATATATATATATATATATATATATATATATATATATATATAATATGAGTTAACGAGATATTAATTTTGATATGTGAAGAGCAATATTGGGACCAGTGGAAAATCTTTTTATACCAACACGTTTCGTTCTTTGAGGATTTGTACCAAGCGAAACGTTCTTTGGTAACCTGTATTTATTAATAAATAATATAGGAAAAAAAATATCGAAAAGAATAAATATAAAAAATATCCCCCCCAAAATATCGAAAAAATATTTTAAAAATATCAAAAAAAAACATCGGAAAAATAAAGAAGAAAAAAATACTGAAAAAATATCGAAAAAAAATATCCCCAAAAAATAACTATCTCAAAAAAATATCCCAAAAATATATCGAAAAAAAAATCTTGAAAAAAATATCCTCCGCAAAATATCGAAAAAATCTTGAAAAAATATCCAAGAAACATCACAAAAATATCGAAAAAAATATCGAAAAAAAAATATCCCCGTAAAATAAATATCTAAAAAATATATTGAAAATAATACAGAAAAAAATAACCAAAAAGATATATTCCCCCCAAAATATCGACAAGAAATATATCCCCCCAAAATATCGTTAAGTATTCAAATTTTGAATCAAAGAGGATTATATTACGGCCTCCTATACTTTTACGTAATAATAAAAAAAAAAAAAAAAAAAAAAAAAACTGATCATAAACATTCGCAATATACTCGAGTATCGATATATACGGTATGTTTCTTCACGGAACAGTAAATAAAAATAAAAAAAAATCTCCCACCCAGCTCGGGGTTTGGATTTGAAGCGCTAGATAGCGTCAGAAATAGTAATGAAAATTAACAACAAACAGAAATAAAAAAAAAAAAAGGTTTATTCTTTCTCTCTCTCTCTGTCTATTCTTTTTATCAAGAACGCATGTAAAAATTCCTGCATCACCCGGCTCTGTTTATCTAAATAAGTTATTCTTCTAGTGTTGTTGTTTTTTTGTTTTTTTTTTTTCATAATTTAATCCCCATCTAGGATGATATCGAGTGAATCTACGAGTAAATCCTGATCTGCCCCCTTCCAATAAAGAGTCAGATCAGGGCCGATGCGTAATATCCCAGAAACCGCCGACTAAGGGTCCCGGGCAGTTCTTCGTGATCAATCGGTATCTTATCAACATTTGATTTTTTCTCCCTACATTTACGTACGTTACAAATTAAACTCAGCCCAACTGACTATGACAAAATTTTTACACATTTTGATGTCATTCTGGATTCGTTTTAAACACTATATAAAATTTACTATTTTTTCTAGTTAATGTTGAAATGTGTTAAAATTCTATAACTTTTTAGCAAGAAAAATCTCAATTTGATGCTAAAAACTGCCGCAAAACATTGTTGATTTTATTTCAGATGGAATGATCTCTGATCAAAGCCGGATTTAGGACAAATGAGGACCTGTGCTAGACCCCTTACTTGGTTCCTGAAGGAGGTTGGCTCAGCTTGCCTACACAGGCATGGAAGGAAGATGGGCCCTCGACCCATGGCCAAAGTGGCCCTGTGCTTAAGCACATCTAAGCCTAATGGTAAACCCGGTACTGATTATGACATGTCTCTAAATTTGTATTTACATTCGTTGTATTTATTTTCAATTTTTCTAGTTGAATTGCTTACCTACATAATTAGATTATAATAAAATTTGTATTTTATATGAATACTACTTTACGAAAAATGAGATGTAGTAGAGTGCGGTGGGGAGTCATAGATTCAGGGGGCCTGTATCATAGATTGGGGTGGTGCACAAGACCCTTGCACCGGGCCCGGGTCGGATACATAAATTTCAAATTTGAAGAGAGTTTTCGTATGCTCCCCATAAAGAAGACTTTACGCCTTTATATATAATGGTATATTGAAAAGAATTCCGTCCCGTATTAGATAGGCAAAAGTTTTCATTAAAAATACATTTTCAATTACGATTTTTAATAAATACAAAGGGAACTTTTGTTCATATCTTATATTTACAGGAAACAACAAATCGCTTCTTCAAGCACAAATCTTTAGCTACGTTTGTCCTGTTTTAACAGGGGAGATAAATGTTATATAGTAATAAAGGAGTTATGTCCCCTGATTCGGCTGTATTTTAAAAATATGAAGACAAAAATGTCACTAAGAGTTGTTTTCCTTGAGATAGATCTTCACCTATTCCGTATTATTGAAAAATGTGGCACATACAAATATTTCGATAATAAAAATTATTATAACATTTAAAAAAAAAAGTAGTTATTATCCTGAACAATGTATGCTGATTTTAAAAATAATGTATAAAATGTCGCTAAATAAAAAAAGGTTAATGAATGCCTTATCAACTGATGCTAAAATTTTTGGGCCGGTATTTTGGGCGCATTCGTTCAACTTTCCATTCAGACTCAATCTTTAAGCCAAATGTGTGCGCCATCAGTGCTAAAATAACAGGTTCAACGTTGCTGTCGTCTGATGTTTTCGTCAAAAACATTTTGATAAAGCCTTCGATCGAGCTGACATGGGCGAAAAGATCGTTCACGAAGTCTGGAACACTAAGTTTCTTCCTCTTCCTGTCCCATAATTCAATAGCATCCATGACTATAAGAATCTGTTAGGAGAAAAAGAAAACGAAAAAAAAATAAATGCGTTAGAGAGAGTAAGTACAAAATGACACACATACACACACACAAACAGACACACACACATATTGTCAATACCAATATAGGTCTTCTTGTTAGTAGAAATAGCTATTCGAATGGGGTAATTTTGGATTTCTATTCTATGTAATTTATATGCTCTCTTATAATAAATACATTGAGCTCTTTTTGTGGATCGGTTTTAATATTTTATATTATTAGGATTCACTTGGATTATATACCAACGGATTATTTCTTTGGTGTGTGTTACTGAAAAAATTCAAGTTACTGTACTGTATGCGTGAAAATGAGAAGGTTTAGTTAGCTATATTTGTTTTTATAGGAAAATTAAACAGTTGTTTTTGTTTTTTGTATTAAATAGAAAAAAAGTATTGTTCTTGACTCACTGATTGTTATAGAGTTATCGCTCATTAACCAGAGATTCTTCTTGTGGAATAGAATATTTTGTGGGAGTGAGCGTTAAGCCTGGAAATGGTTGACAAGGTTTGTTGTTGTATTGAAGATAAAGTTCGTCTCCTTTGCTGTGTTGATTTCCAATGAAGTCAAGTGAATTGGTTCAATATTTTAAGTGCCCACTGACCAAGTCGCGTCGAAGTTTCGTTTTTATTAGTTCTCTTGGTCACGTGGTGAGGCTCGTGAACATGTTTACATTTTATGGCGTCAACTAGAGGTCAAAATTTGGGTCGGTACCTTCGGACGTAGTTGACGACACCTAATTAATATTTTACAACCAATCAAGATACATCAGTTGTTATATTTGGTTGGATGCCTCTATGTGTTTAACTTGCACAAAAGTTAAGATTAAAAAAAAATGTAGGAATCTGATTCTACAAAGGCTTGTGCAGAAACATGCACATTAGTCGGTGCAAATAAATGCCACAGACAGAGCAGACAATAAACTTTAGGCTTTTTGTGTAAGAGTTTTCCATCTCCTAGATCAATAGTATTCTATAACACTAAAGAGCTTGGTCAGCCCTGGTAGACACTATTTGTCCATAGTTGGGACCCTAACAGGTGCTACCATCCCGGGTCAGGGCGAACCTGGGAACAACAGCAATTAATAAAAGCTGGTTCCACGCTTCGCAAATCCTCCAATCTCCCGATGAGAAGACTTGCTGCCGGATGTAGTTTATCGTCATACCCAGGACATATATATATATATATATATATATATATATATATATATATATAATTACATGAATCATTCATACAAAAAACAAATATAGAGGTTAATGATTTAAATGGCGAGAATACATCTTCGAAAACAATTTCAATAAGATACACTAACCCCGAACCTGTATATGAATGATATGATGCCTGTTTATAAATTCCATGTGCATAAGGTCTTTTTTAGCTTTTAAAAGCTTTCGTCTGTTCCTACAGACATCATCAGGTATGGAAATAGATTTGTTCTTGTTTTACTTCTCGGTAATAAGAGGACAATGAAAATAGAAATGTAATCCGAAAAAATGCTATGAGAAATGTGTTATTGTTTTGGAACGTGCGGTTGCAACGCTGAGTTTGAATTTTAAATTTTAAGGTTGTGCATTTTTGTACAAATATAGTAATAAGAGAATTCTTTTTTACTGGTAGGTTTTCTGTCAATGTGGCATGAACTATATTGTTCAATAATTACAGGAATGTCACACTTATTATCCGAAAGTTGCACGTTGGATCAGTTATTTTAATTTCGATTATAGGTGCAGTTTAATTTATAATTACATGAATCATTCATACAAAAAACAAATATATATAGATATATAGATATACAGGTAATAATCCGTTGGTATATATATATATATATATATATATATATATATATATATATATATATATATATAAAAGAAAAATATACGGAAAACAACCAATGATGATGTTTGTATGCACAGATGAAAGCTTGTAAAAAAAATTTAAAAAAAGACCTGCAGTTGGATAAAGCCAGAACATATTATTATATTGCAATAATGATCTTACTAATTAACCTATAGCAGGAGGGGCAAAGAAGTGGATTCATATTTTTCTAAGGGTATTTGTGTATAATTAACACAAACGGAATTGGATCTCGGCTCTCCGATTAACAAATCCGGCCATTATCCATTACACCGCCCGCACATCCATGCTTACAGCACCTGATATTCCCAAGCGGTCACCCATCTAGATACTGACGTTCGACGTTGCTTAACTTCGGTGATCATACAGGAACCGGTGTTTCGACGTGATATGTCTGTAAAGCATGTCACCCGCACATCAGAACACCAGGTTCGACGTTGCTTAACCGTCGATTGGATGAGAACCACTGTTTCAACATGATATAGCCATAAGCCATACCATCCGCACATCAAAGCTTATAGCGCCAAGGATTGCTAAGCGGTCACCCATCAAGAGTTGCTTAACTGGTGATTGGACGAGAACCGGTATTTCAACATGATATGGCCTTAAGCCTAACAAAGACGAGGACAACAGTATACATGTAAATAATGTAAAATCCTCAACGCAGAAATCCAGACAGAAATTTAAGATTTAGTTTAGGGCTCGGTTTCCGGTTCCTTCTAAAGTCTACTTCCGCTCTATATACTTCTAACGTCTCCGACTGAACACTGAAATTTTATTTACTGATGCGTTCATCAACCAACAGGAGTTGATTGGTTCACCTATCGCCCGGTTCACGTTCCTCCTCGTTCAGGAGTAGAGGTTTATCCCAACTTTCCTGCTTAGGATTGCGTTTCTAAAGTTTAATTCTGCACTTTATTTCTATATTCCGACTGAAGTCTGATATGTTATTCAGTAACTAAATCTTGACCTCTTCAAGTCCATAGTTAACCGTTATCTTTCCTGTACATTTCACTCCTTGCCCTTTCTTCCGCTCACATAACGCCGCACAGTAACCGTCTACCTTGAGTGACTCTTGAGCCTTGTAATGGTTGAACATCAACAATAAAAAAAAAATTAACAACCATTTTTGTTGACTTACTTTGTCCTTTGTTAATGAATCTAGTTCTGATATTTCGCTGGTATCTGGTAGCATCATTCGGATGAATTTGTACATCGCCTGCAACAAGTGAAAGTCAATGCTCAGCATATAGCCAATCAAAAGCTCGTTCGGTTCGGTGACTTCGTTCTTGATGTACCGACGCAGGGTCCTCATCGTACTGACAGCGCTCGACCATTTGCGGATGTTGCTCGTGTGAAGAGTAACTTTCTTCGCCCTCTCCTGCAAGTTTGCACTGAAAGAAAGAGAGCAAAGTTCTCACTTGGTAAAGCACGACTCGCTAGGGCGCCCACCATAGATCATCACGCAGACCAGTCCGCTTAGAGTTGGTGAGTTCGATCTTCGCTGGGCGCCATACGACAACTGGCTTCTACCAGACGACAGAAGAAAAGATAACTGATACGTGAGGAGTATTTGAGGACGGGAATGGAGAAACTCAACACCGCCGACTCATCACCGCGCCGGGACAACTCAGGACCGAGACAACTCAGCACCAGAAAAACATAACTTTTTTATAACTGAATAAAAGTGATTTGTTAAAGATTAAAACCTTAATTAGTGAATATTTTTCTTCAGATACGACCTTTGAAAAGGCATTATGTAAAATATGAACCATTTTTTTTCTTTTAATTATTTTAATAAAGTAAATCGTAATGAAATTTATTTTTTAATAAAGTAAATTGACATATAAAAATGATTCAATAAAACGCTTGTTTTTAATTATTTTTTAATAAATCGGAAAATACAAAACAAAATGAAAATGAAGCAGTTTTTTCTTTTTAAATATTTATAATAAAATAAATCCTAATGTAATTTATTTTTTTAATAAAGTAAATCGACATTCTGAATTGGTTTTGTAAAAAAATATTATAGCATTTAATGTTGTGACTTATTGAAATTATTTACTTAATTAAGAACTAAATTACATTAAGATTTACTTTATTCAAAATAATTAAAAACAAAAATATAGTTCGTTTTATTTTGCATTTTTCCATTTAATTTTATAAAAAAATAAGTAAAAACGAGTGTGTTTTATTGAATTAGTGTGTTTTATTTTGAATTTCTTTTGATTTACTTTTTTAATTGAAAAAATAGTTTAATTTTTACTTTCCAAATTTATTTAAAAAATTAAACGGTTTTTTTTAATGCATTTACGTGTTTATTAAAAAATAATTGCAATCGCTATCAAAAAAATTTTTTGCCCTTCCTTGCCTTTTTAAAGGAGTGCCCTTTTTATATTTTACGTAATGTCGAATTTTTCAAATAAACTTATTTACAAAAAAAGAACTAAAAAAATGAACTAAAAACGGTTTTAATCTTTAACTGGAAAAATCGAATGTAAAAGAATTGTAACAACAAATACTTTTTTCACACCCAACCCAGTTTTTTTTTCTTTTAATTATTTTTTTAATAAAGTAAATCGTAATGAAATTTATTTTTAATAAAGTAAATTGATATATAAAAATGATTCAATAAAACGCTTGTTTTTAATTATTTTTTAACAAATCGGAAAATACAAAACAAAATGAAAATCCCTTTTTTAAATATTTATAATAAAATAAAAATGTAATTTATTTTTTAATAAAGTAAATCTGAATTGGTTTTGTAAAAAAATATTATAGCATTTAATGTTGTGACTTATTTAAGAACTAAATTACATTAAAACTTTATTCAAAATAATTAAAAACAAAAATATAGTTCGTTTTATTTTGCATTTTTCCATTTAATTTTATAAAAAAATAAGTAAAAACGAGTGTGTTTTATTGAATTATTTTTTATGTCAATTTACTTTATTTAAAAATTAATTTCTTTATGATTTACTTTATTAAAAATAATTGAAAAAAAATAGTTTATATTTTACGTAATGTCTTTCCAAATGACTTATTTGAAGAAAAAATTCACTAATCACGGTTTTAATCTTTAACTAGCGGCATGGCCCGGCGTTGCCCGTGCTTGATTCAAAAAACGTGCCTATCATTTCTTAAAATATTTTTGCCCTTCCTTGTTTTTAAAGGAGTGCCCTTTGCTTTGCTGATGTTGCTACATGAATTTTTTTCTAAGCTCAATACTAAACATTAAATCTGTTACGAAAAAAAAGAACTAAACAAAATGAACACAAAACGATCAGCTTTAAAAAAGGACTCGTAACTGGAAAAATCGAATGAAAAAAGAATGTTAACAACAAATACTTTTTCACACCCAACCCAGTTCTGCGGAATCAGAATCAACCTTGAGTTTAAGCAAGCAAATGAACCAATTGGAGTAAAGTGACATGAAAGATTTAAATTTTTTCCACTTGTTACAAATGCAGCTATCAATTTTTTTTGCATGCTAGTTAACATTCGTGTCAGTCAGCTGTTGGCTCTCACACTGGCCAATAGAATCTTCCTGCCTATTCATGGCAGCCAGCTATAGGCTCTCACTCTGGCCAGTAGAAAATGGCTGCAAACTACATGAAAACTGCCGTAGAAGCATGAAAAAATCGATTATTTCCACTATCGATGGGAGTTGGGAAATGCAAAGTCGGTCTTGGCCTTCCCACTGACTTGGATCATGTGCATGTAAATTTTGGTGCAAATCCGTCGAAAATTGCGGCCGTGCATTCGTTACACACACACACACACATCCTGTCTTTTATAGATAGAGATAAATTACTTTTATTCGGTTATAAAAAAAATATATATATATTTTTCTGGTGTTTAGTTGTCTCACTCCTGAGTTGTCCCGACGTTCAGTCGCCGGTGCCTAGTTGACCTGCAGCCGTGGAGGACACTTAATTGTCAGTAGATTACTCTCTTCGAACTAATTAAAAATATTTTCTTTCTTTAAGATTGCGTGTCATAATGCTCGTATAAGCTCGTAGTTTCTGGTTAATAATATTATAAGGAAAACGTTGGAACAAAAGATTAGCGAAGAAAAGGTTTAATCACATGAGGGACATGGATTCAGTTAGTTATGTGCCATGCATGATACACGCTGAGACCGGTTGCCATCCAAAGCTATAGAACCTGGTCTGAATATCCGAGAAATTTTCATAGAAAATATGCGTCCTCCGACAGGAATCGAACCTGTATCCTATACGGAACCGTCATATAGCCTGTCATGCCTAAGCCGATTGGGCCGCAGAGGATCGTTCGGTTAGCAAGGTCGAATTTACTGCTTTTAAACACAATTTACCATGATTTTCTCTCATACATCCATATCTGCTCAACATTTACCGGCCTGAATGTCCGAGAAATTTTCATAGAAAATATGCGCCCTCCGACAGGAATCGAACCTGTATCCTATAAGGAACCGTCATATAGCTTATTTTTTGTTAATACTGTTTATTATAAACAGAGAAAAATTCCCCGTAGACCCCGCATAAACAGGGTCGTGTCTGTCTACCTCCTTCGGCAGAGCCTCGTCCGGGTTCCTCTCTGCCCGAAAGCAGAGAGTTCGACAAAAGCTAAGAGCTGAGTAACAGATCCCAGCTAGTAAATTTAGTATATTTAGCTACCTAACCACGAGGGTTGCATGTGGCACAAGGCCGGTTTAGCGTGGGTTCTCCGAGCCTGTAGGGTCGGCCAATAATATTCCCTTTCGAACCCGTATAAGCGGGTTCAGGGGCTGTCTACCTCCCCGAACGAGACTCTGCTCTTCGGCGGAGCCTCGTCCGGCTTCCTCTATGCCCAAAGGCAGAGAGTTAGACTGTCTAGCCGGAACAGGTCACAGCTAGTGATATTTAGCTACCCCCCCACGATGGTTACATGTGGCATAAGGCCGGATTTAACGTGGGATCTCCGAGCCCGTAGGCTCGGCCAAAAATATTCTCTATTTGAACGCGTATAAACGGGTTCAGGGCCAGTTTACCTCCTCGAACGAAACTCTGCCCTCCGGCGGATCCTCGCCCAGGTTCCTCTCTGCTCAGAGGCAGAGAGTTCGACTGTCAAGCTGAAACAGGTCACAGCTAGTATATTTAGCTACCCAACCCACGAGGGTTGTATGTGGCACAAGACCGGTTCAACGTGGGTTCTCCGAGCCCGTAGGCTCGGCCAAAAATATTCCCTTTTGAACCCGCATAAACGGGTTCAGGGGCAGTCTACCTCCCCGAACGAGACTCTGCCCTTCGGCGCAGCCTCGTTCAGGTTCCTCTCTGCCCGAAGGCAAAGAGTTCGACTGTTTAGAGTTCGACTGTTCGACGGGTCACAGCTAGTCTCTTTAGTCCGTTGACTTACAGCTACTTATAGGTAATTAATACCTATAGTGTAGTCACTCACGGGGGTGACAGGTTATTCCATTACATCAGAAAGGGTGAAAGAAGACTTTAGAATGAACCAGAAACTCGATTCTAAACAGAAAACAAAGGATAAACCTCTACTGTTAAAAAAAAAGTGAAGTTTTCATTTAATCCTTAATTTTTCCGTTATTTTGCCTAAACAATCTACATATTTGTGATATATTGATGACGCTTTATTAATATATCTTTGCAATACGATATTGACTGATAAACAGAAACGAATAACACTTTACCTTCCCTAGATATGATGCTTTGGTTATTCCTCATACGTTTGTAGGTTACAACAAAATTATTCAACGCAAAACAAGACTCACAAAATATTTCAAAATAGAACAGTTCTGACAAACTCAGCAAATAAAAGTATATCATTCTACCTACCAAAACGTAAAACCATGTCAATCTACTAATAAAAACGAACTCATAAATGTTTTATTCTTACTATATCAACAAAATAAAATCCGGAATAATTATCAGTTTTTATTCAAGAGCACTCAGAATTCGTAACCCTCAATTTGTATACGAATAGGATAAATATATTGAATATACTTCTAAGGTTCTCCAATGGCCGAATTATTTTATATTGTGGCTTCCCTTTGTCTTTCCTACAAATATTTTCATGGCAACTGTTTTTTCGAGCTTTTTTCTCTGGTGTCCCGACTACATACGTTTAAACGTGCTACTAGATTGGCATTTAGGTCCTTCTTTTTTTACTGTTGAAATAGTTAAATGTAACCGTCACTTCTACTCCAACAGCTTCTTTTCTCACACTTCCTGCCTATGGAATTCCCTTCCGTTTACTTGCTTCCCAGATAACTACAATCTTCAAAAATTTAAATGCAACATCAATCGCCATCATCGGATGTCCTGAACCCAATTCATCTTTTATCCTTTCCTTATCCACCCCCCCATACACTTTTTTTTTCTCACCTTCTGACAAACTCAACAAATAAAAATATATTTTTCTACCTACCAACTCCAACACAACTACAATTGTGAAGAATTTATCTAAGGCTCACATAGAATGTATTACAACTAATTCCCTAAATAATAAAAGACATAATGCAAAAAAAAATATGATAATAAGATAAAACTTGAAGGAAGAATTTTCTATATCACCTGTAATAATTGTCACAAGTAATACATCGGAGAAACCTCAAATAATTTAAATCAAAAATTGTTTGAGCAGAAAAGGGCTCTTTTACAAAACATATATAAATAGTCAATTGCTGGTATTTCCTGACGAGTGAACGAAGTGATGGCTGGAGGGTCCGTCTACGAAACTATGGTGTCGGGATGCTAAAGAAAGAAAGAAAAAGCGAATAAAGAAAGAAACAGAAAAGAATGAAATGAAACAAGCCATAAAGAAAGAAAGAAAGAAAGAAAGAAAGAAAGAAAGAAAGAAAGAAAGAAAGAAAGAAAGAAAATCAAGGTGGAAGAAAGAAAGAAAAAAAACAGAAAAGAATGAAATGAAACAAGCCATAAAGAAAGAAAGAAAGAAAAGCGAAAAAAGAAAGAAAGAAAAAGCGAATAAAGAAAGAAACAGAAAAGAAATGAAATCAAAAAGCCATAAAGAAAGAAAAGAAAGAAAGGAAAGAAAGAAAGAAAAAAAAAAGAAAAAAGAAAGAAAGAAAACAAGGAAGAAGAAAGAAAAAAAAAAAAAGAAAAGAATGAAAAAGCGAAAGAAAGAAAGAAAGAAAGAAAAGAAGAAAGAAAGAAAGAAATTTCTTTCTTTCTTTCTTTCTTCGCTTTTCAAGAAAAGGCAAAAAAGGCTAAAATAATACCAATCAGCTAAGTAACAAACTTTATATATATATATATATATATATATATATATATATATATATATATTATACAATAATTGAAAAATAAAAAAAATAAAAAAATTAAAATCTTTAGACACACTGGGCTGTAGATTAATATTTTTCGTTTTTTTTATTATTATTCCATTTAGATTCCTCGACTAGTTTCGACCGAAATGGCCATCATTGGGAGATATATATATATATATATATATATATATATATATATATATATATATATATATATATATATATGATTTTAACAGCGCCTGATGAGATCCATTGATATGCATCGAAACGTGAATGCATTTATGTAGCGGTTACATATGTTCGAATGTAATATCTTAGAATAAAGCATATATATATATATGTGTGTGTGTGAGAGAGAGAGGAGAGAGAGAGAGAACTCTTTTTACGATGTAGATACAAGGCACTATATATCTTACAGGCACACGAATGTCCGGAATTGTGCAGGACTAGGAATATTGAGTTACGCTAAACTTTCAAATCCTTGTTTTTAAATGTCTATCATTGACGCCAATAAAAAAACACAAGACTCTCTCAGGCACCAAACATATTTAAACTAGGCACCTCTCTCTCTCTCTCTCTCTCTCTCTCTCTCTCTCTCTCTCTCTCTCTCTCTCTCTCTCTGCGTGTTTCATCAGCGTAAAAACTACCTAATTTAGACATGGCCTGGTACAAAAGCAAATGTATGAAGCACTTCCTATACAAATCAAATTCATTGTGAATGACTTGTTGATACTGTTAGCCTAGCGCTTGTAACACAGGCCATGATCCAAATTATGAAAGACGGAAATTAAGAAAGATTTGAATAAAAACAATGATAAAAGGAAAGAAAGAAAGAAAGAAAGAAAGAAAGAAAGAAAGAAAGAAAGAAAAAGAATGGACCGAAAGAAAGAAACAAAAAAGAAAGAAAAACTTTAGTGAAAGAAAGAAAAAGAAAAAAAAGAAAGAAAATTAATGGAAGGAAGAAAGAAAAAACAGAAAAAAATGAAAGAAAACACTTTAAAGAAAGAAAGAAAGAAAAAAGAAAGAAAGAAAGAAAGAAAGAAAATTGGGAGAAAAAAAAAAAAACAGAAAATAATGAAAATGAAAAAGGGTTAAAAAAAAAAAAAGTGAAAAAAAAAGAAATAAAAGAAAATGAATAAAGAAAGAAAAGAAAAGAATGAAATCAAAAAGTAAAGAAAGAAAGAAAAGAAAGAAAGAAAGAAAGAAAAAAAAGAAAGAATAAAGAAAGAAACAAAAAGAAAGAAAACACTTTAGTGAAAGAAAGAAAGAAAAAAAAAAAGAAAGAAAAAAGAATTGGGAAATCAAAAAAGAAAATATAAAAGGGAAAGGGTTATAAAGATAAAAAAGAAAGAAAGAAAGTAAAAGAAAAAATGAAAAGAAAGAAAAAAGCGAATAAAGAAAGAAAAAAAGAAAGAAAGAAAAAAGAAAAGAAAGAAAGAAAACAGAAAAGAATGAAATCAAAACAAAAGCAAGAAAGAAAGAAAAAGAAAGAAAGAAAGAAAGAAAAAAGAAAAAAAGGAAAAGAAAGAAAGAAAAGCAAAGAAAGAAAGAAAAGGGAAGATAGAAAGAAAGAAAATCAAGGGGGAAGGAAGAAAGAAAGAAAACAGAAAAGAATGAAATCAAACAAGCAAGAAAGAAAGAAAGAAACGCGAAGAAAGAAAGAAAGAAAGAAAGAAAGAAAGAAAGAAAGAAAGAAAAAGCGAATAAAGAAAGAAAGTAAAAGCGAATAAAGAAAGAAAAGCGAAGAAAGAAAGAAAAAGTGAATAAAGAAAGAAAGAAATAGCGAAAAACAAAGGAAGAGCATTTAGTGAATGGGTAAAGAAAGAAAGAGCATTTAATGAAAAAGTGACAAAGAAAGAAAGAAAGAACAATTAGTGAATGAGTAACCTAAGAAAGAAAGTAAAAACAGAAATGAAAGACTATTTAGTGAATGAGTGACCAAAGAAAGAAAGAAAAAACATTGAACGAGTAAACGAAAAATGAAAGAAAGAAAAACAAAAAAGAAAGAAAAAAAGCGTTAAGTGAATGAGTGACCAAATCAAGAAAGAAAAAGCGAAAAAGTCAGAAAGAGCCTTTAGTGAATTGTTGACCGACGAAAGAAAGAAAAAAAGAAAGAATGGGCATTTCGTGAATAAAAGAAAGAAAGAAAGAAAGAAAGAACGTTTAGTGAATGGGTAACCGAAAAAAAGAAAGAAAAAACGCAAAAGAAAGAAAGACCATTTAATGAATAAGTGAGCAAAGAAAGAAACGAAAAAAAAAAGAGATGAAAAACAGAGCATTTAGTCAATGAATAACCAAAAAAGAAAGAAAGAAAGAAAGAAGGAAAGAAAGAAAGAAAGAAAGAAAGAATGTGAATAAGTGACCGAAGAAAGAAAAAAGCGAAAAAGAATGAAAAAGAAAGAAAGAACGTTTTATGAATGAGTGAGTGAGTGAGTGACCGAATGAAGAAAAAAAAAGGAGAGTAAGTATAAGAAGTAGTAAGCCGATTTGTTATTTACCGGGACGTGAACCAAATCTATCAATTTCTTTGATCGTCCCAAACAATTCGATCTTTTCCATACCTGATGTCGCTTATGAATAGATCTGTACGTTCTGTCGTCCTCTTGTGGCTGTTGCTGTCGTTAGTCGAAGGCTCCACTTGTTCCCTTTTCTTCAATACTGCATTGGATTCAGCATGAGAAACACGATCTCTGACCAGCGACTCAGCCCGCTCTCCTCGTTTTTTCTGACAACTAAAAGACTGATCCTCGTACGAATCTGGACATTCTTTTCTCGTCTGTCCCAGCGAGTCGGGCGGCTTGATCTTCTCACTGATACCCGATTTGATCTCCTCTTTTCTCTTCATATGCATCCACTCCAGCAACGTCCAATTCACCGGGTTTTTTTGGCCCATTTTCGCTCGGTCTAAACTTTCAACACATTTTTTCAGTACAAGGGAAACCCTCCGGTCAAAGGCTCTTCGATTATTCCTCTGTTCTACAAAACAAACAATAACACAATTATCGCAAGGCCGATTCCGATTTCGTGACAATAAAAGACCATTTTTTTTTTCCTTTTTAAATATCTTTTATGTAAACTGCATCTTTGATCTTTCTCGTCTGATCGGCGGCATTGTTTTACTGGGGTGGGGTGAGTCAACTTAAATTAGTAGGAGCCTCTCTCTATCACTACCTATGGGTTAAATAGTAGAGTAGACTAAGCTCTCTAGCCTTGAATGGCAACCAGTCTAAAAGAAGGAAAACTCTGATTTCCAAACTGAGATAAAAGCAACTGAAAACTACTTCACTATCTTTCCTAAGAATTGATGGCAATAATAAAGGAATCTGTGTAGAATCATGATCGCCTACATCCTGAAGGCCCGTTAGATTAAAAATAATACGATTTCTATTTTTTTTTTTTTTTTTATGAAATTAAGTATTTTTAAACATTATTATGCTTTTCAATTGTACTTCTTTGTATTTAACTTTTCGCTGATTTTTATCCAAGAAATGTCGTCAGAATGTTTTGAATGGAGAAGGTGGACTTTAAATCAAATTGGGTCACAATTAGAAATATTTTGAGGTAATGCATTTATTTGAATTCTAACACTCGGTCTGGGGTAACAATGACTGGTTCCCTGACTGAAAAAAAAGTCCTAAATTCGAATTGATTCAGTCTTTCGTATCAAATCGCGAAATGAAAGTCACCTTGAATGGCCACTCTTCTAGATCTTTTTTTCATTAATGCACGTGTTCCCCAGGAATCTATCCTTGAACATACGTTGTTCCTAGTTTTCATCAACGACCTTCCTGGTGGTACCAGCTCTCAACTCTGTAACTATGCTGATGACACAACTATTTACTCCTGTCTTAATAGTAAATCTGATCGGTTCGATAAGGTCCGATTGGCAACTGATCTAAAAAAAATAAATAAAAAACTTACGTTATTGTTAACTGGGGCAAGTAATGGCTTGCTAATTTTAACGCCTCCAAAATGGACCTGTTTTCTATTAATCGTCTTTTCTGCCTTCAATCATCATGTTTAATTCTAACCCCTGGGAGAATGAATCATTACACTTTCTGGGGCTTTTTCGGCTAACACGAAGTGGAAATATTATATTGAATCAATTGCTAGATCTGCTGCTAAGAAAGTTGGTTCTCAGTGTCGTGATAGACAATTTTTCTCGCTCGAATCTATCTTACAGATTTATAAGTCTACCATTCGCCTATGCTTAGAATATTGCTGTTACATACGGTCTGGTGCTCCTGCTATATATTTAGAGATTCTTGATAAAATACAAAGAATATACAATGTTATTGATCCTGAGCTGGCATCTAGACTGCAGTTACTTTCCCACCGCCGTAATATCGCTTATCTGTGCCTTTTCTATAAATAATGGTAAATGTCCAGATGAAGTCTCCTTTATGGAACCTGGACTTTCTGAGTTTAAGTGCATTACTAGATTAGCGGCAACATCCCATCATTTTAGAGTCGAAGTGGCTAGATGTAACCGTAATTTCTACTATGCTAACAGTTTCTCGCACTTCTTACCCGTGGAACTTTTTCCTGGCTTCTTGTTTTCCGGTCAAGTTTGATCTTCAAAATTTAAATACAGTGTCAATCATTATTTTCTGTCTTCTTAATTCCTGTTTGTTTATTGTTCTTTCTCCTTAATATATTTTTTTTTCATATTCTCTTGCATTCAGTAAACCTTTGAGTGTTAGCGGCTTTGTTGCCTTACTTGGGGTCAAACATACCATTACAATCATTTGCTTCATATCATTTCTGGATTTGTTTATCATGTTGATCATGTTAAATATTTACCTGTTTTATAAGACATTAGCAGGCTTCGCCCGCTCGATATCGCTTCGCAAAGTAAGAAATATTCACCACTTGAAATCTTTGAAACAATAATTTTAAATAGACATTTCATTCATAAATTGGCTTGTTTTAAGTTAAGGAAAGTTTTACAAATAGATGCCAACTTGTTGAAGGCCAAGTAAAATGGAAATTTCACTTTTTTGCACTATATAAGACGATATTCCTAAACAGAACTATTTTTGATATGAAAATCAAAACAATCCTTGAATAAAAGAACAGTAATTAAATAAACTTTTTAAAAACCAATATGCAAATTAGTTAAACCTGAAGAGTGATATTGCCTAGAAGCAGATAATATGTAATACAGATATTGAGCTTTTAGTTTGTAAATTCTATAGAGTTGGGGCTTTTTAATTTCGGAATTCATGGGAGTATTGAGTTCCAGTTTCGTATTTATTCATATAGATTCCATCATATAGGTTTTACTTAATAAGCTATTATGCTTCTCTAACTCTTCAAATGTTGAATGTATAACTAATTCTAATTTCTATTTTCACATCTTTCCACTATAATAATTTTATCTTATAAACTGTCCCCTGTTCTGTCACAAAATAAAAATAATTGTACAGAAAATAAGGCTCAACGTACATCAAATCGTTTTTAAATTAAGTGACAGCAGAAGAATTATCGTTGAACTTTTAAAAGGTAAAGTTAAACATTAATTCAATAATTAAATGCAGCCGTCAATTTTGAGTTCTTCTGTAGTTTATTGATGCTTATCGCATCTACTCCTCCCTAGCTATTGTGATGATGGCCAAACCAAGAGCCCTCCACGGGAGCTAACTTAAATACCGTCCGATGGGGCAGCTTTTAAGCTAGCTGCAATTTTGGATTCAAAAGAAAAGTAAGAGTCACTCCTCTTGAACCCTTAATGCAACGATAATGGCTAGTATAATATATTAATATATATTTTTAACCTCACATAATCTGGCAACTCTGAATCTGTTTCTAGGGCTTTTGAATGAGCGATGAATCATTGAAATCGGACCAGTGGCAGTGGAGGAGTTGCTTGGACACACACACAAACACATACATACATTGCACTTTATATATAAGATATCACTATGCTAGTAAATCATTTATTATGCAATACATACATTGCACTTTATATATAAGATATCACTATGCTAGTAAATCGTTTATTATGCAATACGTACATTGCACTTTATATATAAGATATCACTATCCTAGTAAATCGTTTATTATGCAATACGTACATTGCACTTTATATATAAGATATCACTATGCTAGTAAATCGTTTATTATGCAATACATATATTGCACTTTATATATAAGATATCACTATGCTAGTAAATCGTTTATTATGCAATACATATATTGCACTTTATATATAAGATTTATATATAAGATATCACTATGCTAGTAAATCGTTTATTATGCAATACATACATTGCACTTTATATATAAGATATCACTATGCTAGTAAATCGTTTATTATGCAATACATACATTGCTCTTTTTATATATAAGATATCACTATGCTAGTAAATCGTTTATTATGCAATACATACATTGCTCTTTATATATAAGATATCACTATGCTAGTAAATCGTTTATTATGCAATACATACATTGCACTTTATATATAAGATATCACTATGCTAGTAAATCGTTTATTATGCAATACATACATTGCACTTTATATATAAGATATCACTATGCTAGTAAATCGTTTATTATGCAATACATACATTGCTCTTTATATATAAGATATCACTATGCTAGTAAATCATTTATTATGCAATACATACATTGCACTTTATATATAAGATATCACTATGCTAGTAAATCATTTATTATGTAATATTTACACGCTCTTTTTTTTTATTTCTGGCCCCTTTGGAGTTAATCCATCCCCCAGCAGAGAAGGTAACGGGGCACTACTTCACTATCTTTCCCAAGACAAAGTTTCCTCATATCTGGTCTGGAGCTGCTCAGACCTCTCTTTACACGCTTCAGTTCAAAAGCCTATACTCGGCCTTTGTAAGCGATTAATTAAACTATTTCTCCCCTTAAAACCCCTCTCCCACAAACCCAACCTCGCTATTTTTCATGGAAAATGTTCCGAGGAGCTATATACCCAAGTTCCAGCAGTTCAGACATTTACAACTAAGACTCGCCATGCCATATACACAAGTGAAATGTCCTCATTCCTTTGTATTTATTTGGTAAAGAGGAAGCTCCATTCAGACAGCTTCTTTCCAAGAGCCACTACTTTATGGAACAGCCACCCGAGAGGACGATTCCCCGACCAATTTAATCTCTTCAAATCCCGGGTCAACCGTTATCTATCCTACATATGCTCACAATCTACAATTCCGTTCACACATCAATACAGCAACATCATTTATTCACCCTCTATCTTGAATTGCTCTTGGGCTTCGTATTGAGTGAATAT